TTGGCGCCGCCTGCACCAAGCGCAGCGCGGCTGCCGGCTCGGTGAGGGGTGTGGGGCATGGGCCAGGGCGGTCCGCGGTGGGCAGAAGGGGGCGGCAAACCAGGCGGGGCGGGTGGGGCAAGGCTGAGGCAGCAGACAGGCGCAGGGCAAGCTGGCTCCGCCGCACTTGCGACACACAGGCCTTGCACGCGAAGGTCCCCTCGCCTTTGCCCTCCCGCCAGCCCTCCCGCCAGCGCACCAGCCGTGCCGCCGGGCCTGCCCACGCCCCCAGCCAGCCAGGCCTTCCCTCCCCAGCCGCAACCACAGCCCACCCAGCCCACCTGAGTCAACGAGGTAGACGCAGGGCAGGCGGCAGCGCTGTGCCACCTCCTGCAGCCGCAAGTGCTTCTTCACGGTGATGGGGTAGTAAGTGCCGCCCTTCACCGTAGCGTCGTTGGCCACCACCGCCACCAGCCGGCCGTGCACCGCGCCCACACCCGTCACCACCCCGCCCGACGGCACGTCGTCCTGGCCTGCGGCGGCGGCAGCAGGCGGCAGCGGCGGCGGCGGCGGCAGCGCAAGAGGTGTCAGTGAGGGCGGGAGCAGCAGGGCAAGCCGGCGTGATCAGGCCAGGGCAAGCCGTTTGGTGGCGAGGGCAGCAGCAGGGCATAGCCGTGGAGCGGCTGCAGCGGATCGGCCACAGCGGCAGCGGCAGCGGCAGGACCGCTGAGGGAAGCCGAGGTGGGGTCGGGCTGCTGCGTCGGGTGGCTGGCATTGCGGCCCTGTGGCAGTACCAGCAGTACCAGCGGTACCGGCAGCGGCCTACCGTACAGCCCCTTGCCCGCCAGCTGCGACAGCTCCAGGAAGGGAGAGCCGGGGTCTAGAAGCAACTGAATGCGCTCCCTGCAGGCAAGCAGCATGCCCGCCGCTGCCGGTGTGCCTGCCCAGCTGGCAAGCTTGAGCATGTGCAGCGGGAGCACAAGCGGCAGGCTGCAGCAAACGGCACCAGCCCAGGGCACGCACCTCGGCAGCAGCTTGCCGCGCTCCCGGTGCCGCTGCACCGCCTTTGCGCCGCCCGCTTGCAGCACGTGATCAATGTCTGCGGCAGCAAATGCAGCAACAGCAGCGGCAAACAAGTGGAAATCATTTTGGGCAGCGCACCGCTCGGCGCCCGCAGCAGCGTGCGGCCGCGCTCGCCAGCGCACGCACCTGCATTCAGCTGCGAGATCAGCCCATCCATTTGCGCCTGGTTGCGGTGAAAGGCTTCGCTGTAGGGCTCCACGCCGCAGCTGCTTGGCGGAAGAGGAAGGGGAGGCAGCGGGCTTTGGGACTGGCGGCGGGCGCCCGCCCGCCTCCACAGCTCAAGCATATAGCGCCGATGTGGTATCGTGAGGCGCCCGCACCCACCCATTCTCCTCTGACCGGCGCCTGAGCTTGCCTGTCGAGCACGGTGCTCATATCGGTGGCGGCCAGCCCCACCACCCCCCGGCACTGTCGACCCCGCAGTGCCGCGCTCCACAGTGACCGCCTTAATGCCAGGGCCGCCATAGTGAGGGCAGTCAGTCACCGTCTGCTCTTGTTGCCAAGGAGCCGAGTGTTCGGCAGCCTGTGCTCCCTCAGCAGCACCTCGCAAGTCTATTACTCGTTGTTTTGCAGCAGACCGGGGGGCCTCCCGGCTTGCGTCGTCTTCCCGCCACCTCAGCACCTGGCGGCGCCGCCGCCCACACACGGCGCCCCTTCCTGCACTGACTGACACACATTACACCCAGCGCTACCTGAATAGTCACACAAACATTGTGAATCGAAAGTTAAAACTCAGGGGAAACAGGTGAGGAGGTTGTGCAGAACGGCTGTGCAGAACCGGATGAAATCGTTTGAGATGAGATGGATGCAGGGGCTGGCGTTTGCCGGGAGTGCTGGAGATCATGCATCCACGTTCATCAGAAGTATGGTGGAATGGCATGTGTCGAAATGAAGAGAATGGAACATGAAAACCCTGAAAACCCTATTAAGCAGACTGGCATAATAGGGATCGGCACGTCACGGAGCAATACTCTTTCATGAGAGGTTGCGGGTGGGCACAAGAAGTTTTTGAATCATAGAAGGGTGCGTCTCAGGCTCTGCTTCCATACTTGATGAAACCGCGCTATCGATGAGGGCTCAGATTGGAGAAGGGTTCATAGCATGGCCGGGTTCATCCAGGGAAATGGATGCAGCCAGGGGTTCACCGAGTGGCAACGTTGTAGGCCAGTGTGGCAATGAGGTAGGCCACTATCAAAGGCTTTGCCCTTTGTTTGGGTGCAGAGGAGGCATTTGTTTGGGTGCAAAAGAAAAGTAGGCAGTTACAACCTACCTTGGGCCTGGAAGCAGATGCAGCATGCGGGCCAAGCGGGCCAGCGCCCGATGCTGCTCGCTGCCGCCGTCGCCGCCCGGCAAGCCTCCCACAAGAAGCTGCTCCAGGGCAGCCACGATTGGGTCTGCGGCGGCAGGTGCTGCGGCAGCGGCGACCGCAGAGGAGCCAGCTGGAAGCAGCGCTGCCACGGCCGCCTGGTTTGCGCCTGCGGCTGCAGCGCCGCTGGCTACTGGCGCCAGGGCCGAGATGGCTCCAGCCAGAGGAGGCAGGCCAAAGCTGCCCTGTGGCGGTGCTGGCGGCGCTGCGGGCAGGGCGCTCCACCCGCCCTGCTGAAGTAAGCCCTGCGCTGGCATGAGCTGCAGGGTCGGCGGGTCTGCTTGTGGTGCTGGCGCCACCAGAGCAGACAACTCTAGGGCCACAAGCTGCAGCGTTGCCAGGAGGTTGCTCTGGGGAGAGGCTGGCTCCTGCACGCAGGCAGCAAGGGCAGCCAGGACGGAGCATATCTGTGCTGGTTTGCTCAGCAGTTGAGCAATCACTTGATCAGCAAAAAGAACGAAGCAGCTGCCAACGCCGGGGGGTATACCCTTCAAGTAAGGCGAGCAAGAGAACGGCTCGCGGGAAACTGCGGCACGCCCAGTGCAAGTCCGCTCGACACTCACCATCTGCGACAGCTGCTGCTCAGCCTCGGCAGGCAGGTACTGCTGCTGCGGGGGCTGAGGCTGGCGCTGCTGGTGAGGTGCCACTGCTGGCTGCGGCAGCCCGGGAACGAACTGAAGCCAGGTATCCTGCTGCGGCTGAGGCTGGTGCGCTGCAAGCTGCGGCGCCGGCAGCAGTACCGCGGTGGCGCCTGGGGAGTGCGCAAGCAGGGCATGCTCCAGAGCCGCCACCCGCTGCAGCAGTGTGGCCACAGTGAGCTGCAGCTCCTGCAGATTGGATCCCAGGTGGAGGGCGGGCTGCGGGTCAATCGCCGCCCCTGGCTCCGCCTCTGCCGGCCCCGCCACGAGGGCAGCGGAGCCGTCGCCAGCGAGCGCCGAGGCGGGCTGAGCCGGGGCGGGTAGCGGCTGCTGGTTCAAGGCCGGCGATGGCGCTAGGGGCTGCGGCGGCGCTGACGCTGGCGGCGCGGACCGCTGCGTCACTCCGCCGTGGCCATCGCCCTGTGAGATCCCATCCTGTGCACCTCCCTCGTTGCTTTCATCGCCAGCATCGGCTGCTGCGGCGGATGCTGCAGCGACTCCCGAGGCTGCAGCCCGCCTGGCTCGCTTCGTGCCTGGCCCTCTTTTGTCACCCCACTCGGCCTGTTGCGCCTCTTGCTGAGCCTGCTGCGATGCTTGCGCTGAGCGCAGCCGGGTTTGCGCCCGCCGCTGGGCCTGCTCTGAAACCTGCTGGCCATCGCTGACGCCGTCGTGCCCGGATGCTGCGGCGGCGGCGGCCGCGGCAGCCTGGCGCTGCCCTGGCTGCTGCCTGCGGCGCTTGTGCTTCTCAAGGCTGGCGCGGCAGCTGCGCCGCGCCTCCTCGAAATGCTCCAGACAGTGAGGCTTGGCGCACTGCAGAAATATTGACGAATCAAAATTATCGGGAAGGCAAGTTGCTTGGTAAGCAATTGGTGTTGGCTTGGCAAACAAGTGGCGGGTTGGCTGTAGAGAGCTGGCAGGGCATGGGATGCACGGCCAGGGTGCCACACTGTGGCACATGGATGCGAAGCAACCAAGAAGCAGGTCAAACTGCACCCCACCTGCTGGCAGAACCTGCAGAATTCTCCATGCATCTCAAAGCTGGGTGCCTTGTAGTGCGCGACGCAGATGTGGTGGCGCTGCAGCCGCACGCCGCGGGGAGAGAACCAGCAAGCAGTTGAGGGCAAGGACAGAGCAATCCAGCTTAAGGCGGCCGTGTGCCCTCCTCAGGCATGCACCGGGCCGGTAATGCAGCGCTGCCGGCGGCCTGCGATGCAGCAGCAGCACGCATCCAACACAGCATGCCCCAGCTCGCAAGCAGTCACAGACCAGCGCCGGCACACGGCCACCCGGAATTGCCTGCAGGATTCACGGGGCGAGGAGAGGGCTCACCTGATTGTAAGCGTGGCGCAGCACCTCCTGGCACCCAGGCACGCGGCAGGCGGGCACGGAGCGAGGTGGGGCCGGCAGTGCAAGCGGCTGCTCCCCATCCTGCAGCTCCGGTGGCGGCTCTGCAGGCTGCGCGGCTCGCCCCTGCTCCTTCGCCTGCACGCTGCGCAGCTGCTGCGTCTGCTCTTCCCCTGCCTCCACATCCGCCTGCTGAGCACTAGGGTCTCCTTGGCTGGATGCCCCCGCTGCTGCAGGCGGAGGTCCAGAGCGGGCGGCACCGCCGTTGCCGCCAGGGTTTGGCAGAGCCGCGGGCCCGCGGCCAGACGCCGGGACCGGCATTGCTGCGTGCGGCCAGAATGTGGTGCGGTGAGGGCTACAGAACCAAACTGGGTTGGCGGGCGCTGCAAGGTAGCGCGCGACGGTGCAGGCGCTCCTGGGCTGCTGGTGCCTCTTCGCACCCCGGCGGGAACTGCACGTCACGTGCTCATCATCACGTTCCCGCGGGCTGCAGCAGGCTTCTAGTAGATGCGCACGCCTGCAGTAAGCGGGGCAGAGTGCGTCCTGGTCGGCAGCGCGGCTAGCCTGGGGCCTATGTGCATTCAAATGCACAATGGGAGGGGGGCGATGCGGCTAGTGAGGTCTGCAGCAGTCCTTGTCCCTCGTGTAAGGGTGCGCTCGTGGGCTGCCGCACCGCCGCTGCGGCGGGTACCAGAAGGCAATGCAGGGGCCTTGCCCGGCTGCACGCAGCGTCGCCCGCACCTGTGGGGGTTGCTGCGGCGGGCGCACAGACTGCGGCAGCCGCTCCGGCTGTTGCGCGAGGGGTTCTGCTCAATGCCTGTGTAGCCCTGCTGCAGGGGTGCAGGAACTCATAAACGCCCTTATACCGGTCCTCCGCGATCTTGCAACTCGGCTGAGCGGAGGAGAGAGCGGGAAGGGCTCCGCAGTAATTCCCCCGTGGAGTTGCTGCCCAGCTGCACGCTGCCCGCGTTCAGATGCCGGACCTCACATGTGAAATGAACCCGCCCTGCTGCAGCATTGACTGCGCATCGGTCTAGTACGGGGAGGGGCCCAGGGTGTGGAGCACGCCCGGGTTCTCCTGGACGCGCTAGTTTTGCAGCGCAAAAGGCATCTCTACGGCTTTATGAGCATGTGCATTGCGCTGCGGGGCCGCCGCCCCGCGCGGACAGGCTGCTAGCACCCCCGTGGCGGCGCGCATCATGCAGCGCTTGACAGACTGGCAGCAGCACTCCCGTTGCTTGCAGGGAGCGCATCTGCCGGTGGCACACCTTCACTGCTGTCGGCAGCAGTGGGGCAAGCGGCAAGGCGCAATGAATGCAATGGGCGGACTGGATGAAATTGCCGGGCAGGCGGCAGCAGACCAGCATGCTGCGGGCGTCGCGCGTCCGTTCACCAGGTCAGCGGCAGCCGTCGGCCGTCGTCCTGCTGCTGCGGGGGCGGCTCCTGCAGGGCCGCCTCCAAGCTGAGCGCTCCCTTCGCAGGCTCCACGCCCGACAGCAGCTGCAGCAGGCGGTCGGTAAGCGCCTGCTCCGCCAGGCTCTGCCCGCCCGCGCTCACCACCGCGCCCGTGGGCGACAGCGACAGCACGGGCGGCAGCGCGACGTCGGGCAACCCTGCAGCGGCTGCTGCGGCTGCCGAGGGCGGCGGGCTCCTGACAAACTCCAGCAGCTCCGCCTTGGCTTCTGCATGGCGCAAGGAAGAAAGATGGAGGACAGACGGATCGAACAACACACATGATGCCCATTGTGCGCACATGTGGTGAGCAGCCCCGTATCTAGGCACATGAGGCAGGCAGCACATGTGCGGTACGCGCCACAAGCAGCAGCGTGCAGACACATGCAGCGCAAGGGAGGGCAGGGGCCGGGCAGGGGAGCCAGCGCAGCAGGCGGCAGCAGGCAACAAGCCAGGCGGCGAGCACGGGGCGAACGACACAGGGGTCTGTGCACATGTGTCGCAAGCTCGCTGCCGGATAGGCAGACTTTGTTGACAAGAACGGCGCAGCGGTGCACCCACCCCGGAAGCGCCCCACATGCATGTACAGGACAGCTAGGTCCCGCCGCTCCAGCGGGGCCTGCGCGCCGCACAGCAGCACGAGGCGCTCGCAGGCCGCCAGCGCGCGCCTGCGGGGGCGCGCGCGATGGGCGGCACACACGTAGAAAGGCGCACGCGCCAGCACGGGGCACATCCGGCGGAGGGCACACACAAAGGGTCGGCAGGCACGCTTGGCAGGGGGTGCATGCATGGCAGTGCAGGGCAAGCGTAGGCTGGCTTCAGACGTGGGGAGGGGCAGGAACGGGGGCGCAGAGCGGGGCGGGGTTTATCCTGACCTGATGTCGCCGCCGCCGGGGCTCGTCCAGATGCCTCGCTCCAGCCGGTGCCTGGCGGTGCGGCTGATGGCCTGCAGGCGCAGCGCAGCAGGCACGGTCGCGCAAGGGCGAGGCACATGCAGTGACACGAATGACACCATCGCCACCAACACCCAACTGCCTGCATTCGCTGCCTGGGGCTGGCAAGCCCCTTACAGCTGCCGGCGGACTCCACCCAGTGTGAGACACACATGCACACACACACACAGGCGCACACACACAGGGGCACACACACAGGGGCGCACACACACACACACAGGCGCACAGGCGCCTCCCCGCCAGCACCACCACCCCTCGCCTGCATCGCCGCATCGCTCTCCCCCTCCAGAAACACGCTGGCGGCGTCGGCAAAGCCGCCGCCACTGCCGCTGCCGCCGGCGGCGCTCCAGCGGAAAGGCCAGTAGCAGCGCTTGAGGAAGCGGAGCAGCTCAACCAGGGAACCAGAGGTGCAGGTGTTGAGCACTGTGGGAAGGCAGGGGTGCAGCAGGGCAGGTGAGCGGTGTGGGAGGGGGAGGGTCGGGGACCCGGCAGCGGCGCAGCGACTGGAAAGAGGGCCAACTGGGAAAGATGGGGCCTCGGCGCTAGGCATGCAGCAGTGCCGCACAGGCAGCGAGGCAGGCGAGCGGGCACTCACCCGTGCCGTCCCCCCGCACCACCTGCGCCCGGCTCAGGCCCGGCAGCACCTGGGCACGGGGCCGCCGCCCCAGGTCGCGGCAGTCGATGCGCACAGCAAAGTCGATGGCACCCTGCAGCCCGGCGGTCCTAGGGCTTGGTCAAATGTGTTTGGCAGGCTGCGGTGTCGTGATGTGGTGTGGTGCGGTGCGGTGCTGATGCAAGTCGTTACGACACCAGAGGCAGGCCCGCTCTGGACACGCACGCTTGCCTGCCGCACGCGCCCCCCTCACCAGCAGCAGCAGCCGGCGCACGATGTCGGCCAGCACGATGGCCAGCGCAGCTGGTATGCCGCAGCGAGACACAAGCACCTCATTTAGGTACGCATGCCCCGCCTTCTCCCACACGCCAGGGTGGTCCACCAGCGCTGCATGGGGTGGCGAGGTGGCGGGCGGTCGGCTGGGCAGGCGGGAAGGCAGATATATGCGTGCAGGCTTGAAGTGTGCAAGCATGGAGGCAGGGGGGAAGGCGGAGGGATGGGGAGGCAGGCAGGCACGCAGGCAGCAAGGCTGGTGGCACGGGCGGCCGCCCGCGCTGCTACGCACAGCAGCGGCACAGCGGGGGCTGCGTACCTCCCTCCGGAAGGTTGCTGCGGCCATAGGCAGCCACCCGGAAGCCCTGCTGGTCGTAAAGGTACCGTTGCAATGCCTCCAGCACAGCTTCGCTGCAGCTGCCGCCGCCGCCGCCAGGCCCGCCGCCGCCGTCACTGCCCGACGCTTGCTGCTGCTGCTGCTGCTGCTGCTGCTGCGCCCACCGCTGCTCAGCCTCTGGCAGGCACTGCTGAGCGAAATCGGCGGCCAGGCGCTGCAGGCGCTGCTGGTAAGAAGCCACCGGCAGCTGCACAGTGGAGTGGGACACTGCAGGGCAGGGAAGCAATGGCGGCAGGCGGTTCATGTCACCACGACCAGCGCGGACGGTCTTCAGGAGGGCAAGAGAGCGCAGCGTGCACGGCAGGCATCCAAGCACGCCCCTCGACAAGTCCCTGCCCAGCCTGGATCGGTCTCAGTGCAGGAGCACAGGAAAACCAGGCAGCCAGCCAGCCAAGCCAAGCCACGCCACGCCAAGCCAAGGCAAGCCAAGCCAATCCCAGCACCCGCCACGCCGCACCCAACCTCACCCAGCGCATCATCTTCCTCTGCAATGTGCAGCGCCGCCGCCGCCAGATTGACCGCCGCCTCGCCAGCCTGGATGCTCCGCAGGAAGGCCTGGCGGGCCTGGTAGGCATGCTGCACGCTGTAGTCGACTCTGCAAGCGTCCACAGGGGTGAACTCAGCTGGCTGGCTGGCTGGCACGCCAGGCAACGACCAGGTGCCGAGGGCGGCACCGCCACCCGCCGCCCGCCGGCGCTGCCCCAGCCGCTCTTCAGTGGATCCAGCCAGCGGCCGCTCAGATTGGGTGGCGCATCGACCCCAGCGCTCCCCCGTTCTCTCCGTTTCCTCAGAGGCTCACCGTCGATAGCGGGGGTCCTGCTCGGGGTCCCTCTGCTCGTGCAGCGTTCGTCTCTCTTCCTCTGGTATCGCCCTGGATCGGTTCAATGTCCTGGCAGTCGATTGTGACGCTAGCTGCCGCCCGACTGGCTGCGATGGGCGCAGGCAGGGGTTTGGCAAGGCCGCTTGCGCGCCCAGGGAGGCCAGCATGGTTGCCGCAACCCCGATCAGGTGCTAATCGGTTTCTGGCGTCTGCTGTTTGACTTGATGCCAAGCTGGCGGCGCTGGCGGGAGGAGCGCGGTCGCCTGTTCCGCAGGAGTCAGCAACTGGATTTGTGAACACACACAGCTCCCAAGGCCGAAAGTTCGAAACAGCTTGTCATGTTGGCACAAGCATCAAAGCAAGAACAGCGCGGCAGACAGATGGTGCCATCACACTCTCTCTCAGCCGGCCGTGGTCCCGGCGCGCTTCCGCTCCAGAAATTCGCACTGAGCTGGCGACAGCGTGGCTGCCTCCTCTGCAGTCACATGCCGATATCGGCTCGCTCCGCCTCCCGCTGCCGCCCGCATTGGCGCCGCCGCTTGCACCGACCTGGCGGCGAGGCTGCCAGAGGCTGCGACCTGCACAAAATCCAGCTGCCCGGCTTGCTGGAGCCTGCCGTTGGCGGGGCGCACGGTGGCAGCGGGTTGGGAGGCAGCTGGCACCAGGCACTGCATCAGCGGAGGAGCAAGGAGCAGCCGGAAATGAGTCTGCAGACCGGCATCTGCCGCCTGCCTGCCCCTCAAGGTGCAGGGGCGCCCTCGCAGTCTGCAGCTAGCAGGTGCAGCAAAACCAGCAGCGACACGGAGCAAACACAAACATCCGCCCTCCCATGTGGCGGGCGCACCTCTGTGAGCAGCTCAGTGATGTGCTGCAGCTGATCTTCCAGGTGAGCCAGCCGCTGCTCCAGCTGCACCGACTGCCCCTCGGCGGCCCCGCTCGCTCCCGCTCCATTGGGCGTGGCAGAGGCGGCGGCGGCGGCGGCGGTGGCCACGGCTGCCTGCCTACTGGAGCTATCAGTGGCGCCGATGCTACTACCATTGCTGCTGCTGCCATTAATGCTGCTGCCATTCATGCTGCTGCTGGCAGGCTGAGCAGCAGGCGAGGAGTCTGCCCCTGCTGGCCTTGGCCAATAGTCAACCACCGCAACCTTGCCATCATCGCTCCAGGCTACAGGCGCATCGTCGCTCCAAACCGCACCAGCGCTGGCGACGGGAGCCGCAGCATGCCGCATCCTTGGCGCATCTGCTTGCCGCAGCTGCTGCTGCTGTGTGCCCACTGCTTCGGCCCACATCCGCTGCTGTTGATGCTGCTGCTGCGCCCCTAGCGAGCTGGAACCGGGTGCAGGCCTGCTGCACTCGCGGCTGCTCTTGGTGCTGCCACCAGGCCTTAGCTCTCGTTCGGGGGTCCAATACCGCTCAGGCACATCGACCGCTTTCACCTCCACCACCTGCAGGCATGGAGATTACGCAGCCGGAGCTGGCGGTTAAGCTGCGCCCGCCACTTTGGGCAAAACTCCTGGGCCAGTCTATAACCTCCGAGACCATTGTTTGTAAAGTTCAAACAGCTAGTTGCGATACACTATAAAGCTGAACGCCACACCTTGACCTGGTTTTCGATGTGCTGCGCCAGGATGCTTGCCACAGGGATGCTCTCCCCTGTGGCGCACCTGCACACAGCGTGGGAAGCAAAGCGCAGGCCCGCCCAGGGCACCTCTGGTGTGCCACCAGGCAGGCGGAAATGCACCAGAGGCGGCTGGGCCTGCCAGGACACAGCCCGTGCACGTCAGCAGGAAAGGTGGAAATGCACTCGCAGCCAGCCAGCCAGCCAGCACAGCACAGCCACAGCCAGGCAGCCCTCCCACCTACCTCACGCCCGGCATCCTGAGCTGCACCTCTGCCAGCACAGCCATGAGGTCACGCTCCATGCTACGGCTGGATCCCAGCAGATAAGGCACAACCATGATCTGCAAGGGGTGGGGCAGGCAGGCACAGCCACATCAGCTGTGTGCTGCTGCTGCATCCGGTGCATCACCACCTGCCCGCAAGAAAGTGCCAGAACCAGGCAGCTATATGGATCACCCTTTGCCAACCCGTCCAGACCACCGCCAACCCGCCTGCCGCCGCCGCAGGCAGCCCAGCGAGACAAGGCACACCTTGTTTGCCCCCGCCGCCACACACCCTCGCACCGCTCTCTCCAGCGTGGCGGAGCTGGCCACAGACACAATGTCCCGCTGGTGCTCCTGCCTGCGGGCGGTTGGGGCGGCTTGCATGGCTGCATGAGAGCAGTCTGTCATGCCAGGCCTAACACAGTAGGAACACAGTAGGGTCTGCAACGCAAACATGACAGCAGGCAGCCGAGGAGCCGGCGGAGTGTAGGCACGATCCCAGAGAGGTATACAGCACCCACCTATAGGCCGCGGCAAAGTCGAGCAGCAGGGCATCTCCCTCTGGCGAGGGCTTGCCAGCATCCAGAATCACCACGCCCAGCACCTCGTCTGATCGGTGGTACGACACGGCGGTGCTGCGAGGTGCTGCAGCGCAGGCGCAGTGGGCCCTGCGAGGCGGCGCTATTGGAGCGCCGCCGCCGCCGCCGCCCGGCCGCCGCCGCTGCTGTATCTTCTGGGTTCTTCCGTCGTTGAATGGCGGTTCCAGCTGCCATAGGCAGCCAAGCGGCGCTGCGCAGCATGCCGGCAACGAGTGGCGGAGCATGCCGGCCCGGGCAACAGGCCAAGGGTGCCAAGATGATCTCCGCGTGTCACAGAAGCATAAGCGCAGAATATCTGGGCCAGGGGCGGGCGTTGTAGGATTGCGCCCCACCTGACCAGGTTGGGAGGGCAGCGTGCGCGGCACAGCACAGCACAGCGCTGCTGGCACCACAGGGCAGTGCGGGCGGGCAGTGGAAGGGCAGCGTGATTTGTTGATAAATTCAGATGATGCTGTGGCCAATGCCGGTAGATGTTTCCATGCCCAAGGAAACTTTGTCGGTTGGGTGGGTTCAGTTCCCTTACACGAGCGCCGCATGGCCGGCTTGGGAGCTGCCGTGTGTGGGTTCGGGTGGAGTAGGCAAAAATAATGCCTCTTGATCACGGCACCCATTGCACTGGGCGGTACTTGCGCATTGATCGGCCAGGCAGGGGACAGAGGCGGCTGTGAGGAGGGCGGGGCGGTTGGCGGGAACCTGCGTGAAGGGTGCTGGCGGCAGCCTGCAGGCGTGCGGAGTGCACCGGCTGCAGACAGTCCATGTCTGAGCAGCCAGAACATCTCTGGTGATGGTCCTTGACGATTGGTCGTGTGGGTCGAACATTTGGATGCAATCCAAATGCAGGCTGAGTGCAACCCAAGTGAGACCCAAAGCGGCATGTGGCGCCGGACAGATGTCGCCGCAGCATCGCGCCCAGGGTGGACAGGGTGCCCCGGCGCCAGCTCGCACGCAATCGATCGATGCATTGGCATTTTATCGTCAGTTTAACCCGCGCCCAGCCTCGCTGCTCCTCGGTCCTCGGCTTCGCCCCCGGTTCGCTCCCCGCGGTGCCAACGAGCCGGCACACTTCGTTTGCGGGTCGGGGCGCCTGCTCTACTGGCATTGGGAAGCTCTGTGCAGCGCTTCCTTCGCGCGAGGCGCGTGCAGTCGCTTAAAACCTCGACCGCTCGCTAAAAGACCGCTATACGCTGCGGCGGCTGTGCAGCCCTCGGCTTTTGGTTTGCACCACAAACAAGACCAGAGACCTACCACGCCCTTGGCGGGTGCCTTGAGATGGGAGAGTGCAATGATGGTGAGGACCTGTACGTTCAGCCACGTTTCGTTGCAGGGAGGCGGGTTTCGGGGCTTTGGCAGGCATGCAGGGGCATGTGGCATGGCAGGAGGCCCGGGGAAGGCGGCGCAGCTTGACCTGTCTTGCCGCCGCCGCTGTGCAGCCTCATCCAGCCCCAGCCCGCCGCAAGGCATCTCGGAGACCATCAGCGACCCAACCTCCAGCGGCGGGGGCGCCGCAGCCGTGACCGAGGCCGCCGCAACCGCCACCGCTGCCGCCGCCAGCGCCGACGGCTCCCGCAGCGGTGGCAGCGGCGGCGCCAGCCGTGCGCCGCCGTCGGGACGCAGCCAGCCCAGCTGCCGCGTGCCGGGCTGCACGCTGCGCCTCCTTCTGGCCTACAATCAGGTGAGGTGCAGCCAGCACGTGCCTGCTGCGGTCGCGCTGCCACTGGTGGTCATTCGCCACAAGAAGGAAAGCAGTCTTGGCTGCCGCCGACGCTGCCGCCGATGCCGCTTGTGCTGCATTGCTGCAGAGGCACCGCATCTGCAGGGTACACCAGAAGTCAGCCACAATAGACATTGAGGGAGAGCCGTGGAGGTTCTGCCAGCAGGTGGGTGGGTGGGCAGCGTGCTGTGTGAAGCGCACGGGCGAGCGCCGCTACCGCATCGTTGCCAAAGCCGAGTTGGGTGCTCGTGTCTTGCTCCATAGCCGTGAAGCTACACCCACCGGGCCTCTCCTTCATTGGTCCTTCCTTTCTTCCTGCAGTGCGCCAAGCTGCAAAAGGTCGAGGGCTTTGATGGAGAGAAGCGGTCGTGCCGCGACAGCCTGAACCAGCAGAAGCAGCGGCGGCAGCTCAACCAGCAGCGCCAGCAGCTGCTGGTGCACCAGCAGCAGCATGCGCTGCAGCAGCTGCAGCGGGAGCACGCGCAGCCCATGGGGCAGGCCCCCAGCGCCGGTGCCGCCGTGGCGGGCTTGGACGCCGGGCTGGCGCAGCACCACCAGCACGAGCACCAGCCGCATCAGCCTGCCAGCAAGCGGCAGAGAGTATCGCCCGTGGCAACGCTGCCGCCGCAGCAAGCGCAGCAGCTACAAGCCCAGCAGCAGCACCAGCAGCAGCAGGCGCTGGTGGCGCAGCAAGAACACGCCGAGCAGCAGCAGCAGCAAGCGCGGCTGCAACATCAAGCCCAGCAGCAGCAACAGCAGCAGCAGCAACAGCAGCAGGCACAGGCGCTGCACCAGCTGGCCGCCCAGCAGCAGCTGGAAGCCGGGCAGGAGCAGACACATGCGTGCCTGCTGGGGCAGCTGCTGGCCGCGCCGAGACAGCTGGCACAGGGGCAGCAGCCCGCAGCACAGAGTCAGCAGCAGCAGCAGCAGCAGCTGCTGCTGCAGCAGCAGCACATGCGGTGGCAGGCTTCCCTGGAACGGGCGGCATCTGCCGATGTGCAGCAGCGCCTGCTGCTCACCTCCTCTGTGCTGCAAGGCTTGGCCCCCTTCTCACAGCCGCAGCTGCAGCAGGCGCCCGCTGAGGCCTCAGCGGGAGCGGCGCTGGCGCCTCCGGCCGGCCCGCAGCACCAGCACCCGCAGGCGGCGCCCGCCTCGCACCTGAGCGCAGCAGATGTGTTAGAAGCATTCAACTCACGGCTGTCCCGCCTGGAGGGCCAGGTTCAGACCCTGCTGCACCTGCTCATGGGGCAGCCGCCGCAGCAGGTACGGCCCGGCCTGCTGCCGCCGTCGCAGCCGCAGCAGCCGCCGCCGGGGCAGCAGCCCAGCCAGCAGCTGCAAAGCCAGCAGCTGCAGCAGCAGCCAAGCCAGCAGCAGGAGCTGCAACAGCCCGGCCTGCAGCAGCAGCAGCAGCTGGTACGGCCGGTGGTGCAGCACCCCGCGCCTCCGCCGTGGTTGGCGCCTGCGGGCGGCGAGGCGGCGGCTCGGCTGGGTCTGGCGCACGCGCTCGGCAGCAGCGACTTGCTGGGCAGCATGCTCTCCCTGCCCTCGGAGCTGCTGCCCTCTCTGCACCTGGCGGTGGCGCAGCAGACGCAGCGCGCGCAGCAGGCGCAGCAGACGCAGCAGGCGCAGCGCTCGGTGCTGCTGCAGGCGGCGAAGCAGGCGGCGGCCGGCGGCGTGCCGCTGCCGCCGGGCCTGCAAGAGGCGGATCGGGATGGAGTGATGCGCATGGCCGCAGAGCTGCTGAGCAGTGCGCTGCACGGGGCGGGCAGCAGCAGCGGCGCAGAGGTGCGCGCTTTGCGCGCTGGGCAGCGCACACCACTCTGCTGTTTCCTTTCGAGGAGAGGCTGCGTGCGCTGAGGCGGTTTGCCGTGTCCCCCTCGCCAGCCTGAGCCTCGCCCTCCCCTCTCCAACCCCCGGTTGCGGTGTGTGTGCAGAATGGAGACAGCGGCAACGCTGCGCAGGCTGCCGCCACGGCGGCGGGGCCTTCCAGCCTGCCTCTGGATGCTGCAGAGCTCCTTGGCATGGCTGGAGAGCTTGGCCTGCTGTCTGTGCTGGGCCTGGGCCAGGCGGGCGGCGCCTCCTCGCTGCCTATTGAGCTGAAGCAGCAGCTGGCGGCGGCAGCGGCAGCAGCGGCCGAGCTGCCGCACCGCGGCCTCAGCAGCGGCGGCGGCGGCGAGGAGCCGCGGCCCTCGGCGCCGGCTGCCTCTGCCAGCGCCGGCATGTCGGCCGCTGCAGCCAAGCTGTGCACCATCCCAAGGGACTCGCTGCCTGCCGCCGCCGCCGCCGCGACGCCGGCAGCGCCTCCGGCGCCTGCTGCGCCCGCACACCCAAACCCGTTCCTGGCGGCTCGCACTGCTGCGGCGGCGGGCATCGGCCGAGCGATGCAGCTGGGGCCAGGCAGCGGCTCTCCAGACACGCATCGCTCCGAGCAGCTGCCCTGGCCGGCGCGGGTGAGAGCAGGGAGGCGGCAGGTGGCATGCGCAGGTTGTATAGCCAGCGGAAGGGCTGCTTGCTTGTCATGCCGGCCTGCTGAGCTGCTGCTCGCCACCCACCTGCCCAAGCAGCAACCTTCCCCTGACCCTACACTGCCACCACCCCGTCCCCTGGGCCACTCCTACCGCCGCCACCAGTACACCCCTTGACGCACAAACCCTCCTCTTCTGTGCAGCACGGCCCCACCTCCCTCGACTCCTCCCGAGGCGGCAGCCTGCCGCCAGCAGCCGCGCAGCAGCCGTCTGCCAACGAGCACACCGCCGCCGGCGCTGCCCCTGCAGCAGCCGCAGCAGCAGGAGCAGGGACGGCAGGCGCCGTTGGCAGCAAAGAGGGCCGCAGCGGCACCGGTGCCGCAGCAGCAGCCTCGCCGGGGCTCGGCGGCAGCATGGGCTCGCCGGCGGCGCACCTCCTCGGCGCCGCTCTGGGAAGCGACAGGAGCGCGAGCGCCAGCGGAGGATCGCTGCCCCTTCTGCGCAGCCTGGGCGGCGCGAAGCCGGCCAGCCTCTCCAGCCTGCTCGGACACGGCCGGAGCGGCTGAGTCCTAGTTGCTCCACATTTCCATTACTTCTTTCGTTTTTCGGCGCACACTTTTGTTCGCCGCATGTTTCCTTTACTCCGCTCCCATGATTTCCTCTGCCCCGGTGGTCCCCTGGTTGCACTGGTGTGCTCCAAAGCTGAGTGCTCCTGCCAGCATTGACCACAGCATCCCTCTGCCACCCTGCCTTCAACGCACGCTTTGCAAACGCACAGCATGTTTTGGATACTTCCTGAACCATAACGCGGTGCCTCTCCTTTGAATGCACACTACGTCTTTCGGAGCTGTCCTCCCGCCATACCAACCCTCCCTGATTGCCAAACTTACTCGCCCCAAGCATTTCTTCCTTCCCTTTTGTTCTCTTTCCCTGTCCTTTCCCTGTCCCCAATAAGCAACAAACCATGCGGTCTCTGGTGGCCCCAGCCTGTCCCCACCGCGCCCTGATCAGCTGGGCCTCATATTAACCAAAGCCTCTGCACCTGCCCTTGCTCCTGCCCATCACAGCCTGGAGGGCGCACTGCAATGCAACATGTGCGAAATGCAACCTAAAGAGGGTGCCTTACACTGTGGGCAGCTCAGGGCAGGCTCGGGGCAGGTTCAGGGCATCGGTCAGGGTGGCGCTCAGGGCACAAAGGGATTGTCTGTGCGCAGCCCCGCCCCAGCGGTGTGGGAGGGCGGGGCGTGCCCCTGCCAGGGCGGCGGCGGCGGCTGGTCGGGCAGCGGCCCGCTGCGCCCTGCTGCGCCTGCCGTGCCTGCTGCGCTGGCGCTGCCACCGAAGGTGCCCATCCACGCCCACCAGTCGGCTGCAGTGGTGGAAGAGAGCAGGGGCTCGCCTGCTGTGCTGGCGCCGTTGCCGCTGCCACCCGCCACAGCCGGCTGTGGCGGCGGCACCGGCAGCGGCAGGCGGGGCAGCGGCCCCGGCGCCGCCGCCATCTGCATCTGCTGCATGCTGCCGCCGCCGCCGAGGCCACCGCCGCCCCCCCCGCCAAACAGCAGCGCACGCAGGCCGGCGGCCTGCTGCTGCTGCTGTCCCGCCGCCATTGCTGCCGCCGTGACCGGCGGCAGCTGCTGCTGCAGCTGCGAAGGAGGCTGATGTGCCACCAGAGCATGCTGCCGAGGGCTTCCAAACAGGCTGAAAAACTCAGCTGGCAGCCTGACAGCCTCCGCAGGCTGCGGGCCAGGCGGCGGAGGCGGCTGCAGCTGTTGCACAGCCGCCGCCGCCGCCGCGGGCTGCTGCTGGCGAAGCGCGGCAGCCAGGGCGGACGGCAGCGGCGGCGGCGGCGAGGCCCGACGGTCGCCATCTGGGAGCACGCTGCCGGCGACATCCTGCATGGAGGGAGGCACGAGGGAGGCACACGTGTGTGTGTGTGTGTGGTTTGTGCGTGTGTGTGCGTGTGTGTCGTGTGTGGGTGTTTGCGGCACGCGAGAAGAGCACATGCCACTTGGCCGGTACGAGAGAGGCGACAGGCGCGCCTCATTCACCCATGCTCACCCAGCCAAGGCAATCCCAGCATGGCCACGCCATGCATGCGCATCGCCACTCGGCCCCCCACCCACCTGTGCAGTCTGTTCGGCATCAGCCATCTCAGCATCCTCCCCCGGCCCCGGCCCTGCTGCCACTGGCGCCGCAGGTGCCGCACCGGCCGGCGGTGGCGCAACTGTGCCGTTGAGCTGCTGCGGCGCCTGCTGTGGCCGCTGCGGCTGCTGCCGCTGCTGCTGCTCCGGGCGCACTGCTGCCGCCTGCGCCTGCTGCCCCAGCGGCGGCTGCCTCCCTGGCAGCACTGGCAGCGGCGGCAGCGGCGCCGCAGGCTTGCTGGCGGATGGCGGCGGCGGCGCATACAGGATCACTTCCTCCTCCTCCTCATCCTGCTCCACATACTCCATCGCTGCCTCCGCTGCTAGCGGCGCTGGCTGAGCTGCTGCTGCTGGGGCTGCTGCTGCTGCCCCTGCAGCTGCCGCCGCCGGTTCCAGCTCCATCCCCCCAGTCCCTGCTTCAGGCACGGGATGCAGAAGGGCCGCGTGCGCCGCTGGCGGCGCGGCCAGCGAGGCGGGCCGTCCTGGCGGCGCTCGCTGGGGCTGCTGCTCTGCCTGCTGCGGCTGCTGCTGCTCAGCCTGCTGCTGCTCCTGCGCAGCAGCAGCCTCCTGCTCCTCCTGCTCCTGCAGCGCCGCCTGCACAAAGGCTGCCTGCGCGTCCGCCAGCCCCCGGGGCCCCGCCTGGCGCGAGCCGCCGACCAGCACGCGTGCAATCCTGGCAGCATCCGCCAACATGTACCGCAGCCGCGCAGCGATGACTGCAGGGGACTCTGGGTCGACGGCAGGCCCTTCTGCCGCTGCTCCGGGGCCGGTCGCTGACGTGGCGGCGGGGCTGACGTGGCGAAAGCCTGCCAGCTGGGCGCCCTCGGGCAGTACAACCTCGCCCGGCGACCGTACCGCCTCGCTCCCTCCAGCCTCTGCTGCCGCTGCCGCCGCCGCCTGCACCTGCCGCAGCGCTACAACAAGCTGCGCCGCCGCCTGCCACAGCTGCTGCCTGGCGGCGGTGAGCTCTGCAGGCTCCTGCTGCTGCTGGCGGTCCCCCCGGGCCGGCTGCTGCGGCGGCGGCGGCGGCAGCACCACGGGCGCCCCCGCCGCCGCCAGCCAGCGCAGCACCACGCGCAGCGGCGGCAGCAGCAGCAGGCCCGCCGCCGAGCCCAGCACGGCTTGCGGGGGGTTGGCGGCGGCCACGGCCGCAGCAGCCGCGGCTGCCAGCCTGGCCACCAGGCTGAACACGAGTTGCAGGGCCAGGCCGCGCACCCGCTGCTGCTGCGCCACCGCAGCAAAGTTCGCCGCCGCCGCGGGGCCCGCCGCCGCCCCGGCCGCCGAGCCCGCTGACCGCGGCTGGCAGCCACCGGCGGCAGCCGCCGAGGCGTGCACCGCGTAGAGGGCGGCGGCGGCCAGCTGCAGGAGCGGTGGGGGCTGGTCGCCGCGTGCCGCCGCCGCGGCCGCCTTGCGGCCCTGCTGGCGCAGCCGCAGCAGCTGGTCATCCAGGTCTGCGGCAGCCAGACGGAGCAGGTGGAAAGTAAAAGGAGCAGGAGGAAAGGACACAAACAGGCTGGGCGAGCAGGGAAGGGAGGAAGCAGGCTGCAAAAACGGGAGGAGCATGGGCGCGTGCTGTGCATGGCGTGCGTGCTGCGCACGCTGCGTGCTCACCCGCCAGGCTGGCGCCCAGCTGCAGCGGGAAGGCGTCCAGCTCCGAGCGCGTCATCACCATGCCCAGCAGCCAGGTGGATCTGCCGGCAGTAGGGGGAGGTGGGGGTGGGGTGTAGGTGCGATGGCGGCGGTGCGTGTAGGTGGAGGGACAACGGATGGAGTGCCTGGCAATCCCAACCCAACTCACCAAAAAAAAAAACATGCACACACGCACACAACCATACACTCAACCACCACCATCCCACACGCGCGTGCACTCACACCACCACCACCGCCACCCACACACACACCAGCCCACCTGAGCCGGAACTCCTTCGCCGCCTGGCTAGCCGGGCGCATGCCGCCGCCGCCGCCGCCGGGCGCCGCCAGCCGCTGGCAGGCCAGGCGCGCCTGCTCAAAGTGCGTCACCAGGTTCTCTCTTGCCACGGGGAAGGGGCAGCGTGCGGCCAGGGCCCTGCAGGCACCAGGTCCCACTCTAGAAATGACTGCGGCCGCAGGGGCTGCAGCAGGCTGGCGGCGCCGCGCCACCGGCGCGCCGCACGCGCGCTGCGGCAGGTGCGGACGCAGCCGGGGCAAGCGCGCAGCATCTGCGCTGCGCTGGTGGCGGGGGCCCCACACGTGTACCGCAGCAGATGCGGACGCAGCTGTGGCTGCAATATAAAGGAAAAATACAAAGAAAAACTGTGGTGTGATCTGAGGCCCACCTGCAGTAGCAGTAGGTGGCCAGCAGGTCGTCTCCCTGGTAGGACGCCAGCACAGCCAGCTGGTTGTACGCGTTGCCGCCTGCAGAGCAGGGGTCGGGATGGCAGGGGGCATGGGAGGGTGGCGGGAGGGAAGGGGAGGCGCAGGCACGGGCCAGGGGGTAGCGAGGAGGGCCGCAGAAGGCGCAGTGCGTGGTGCATGGCGTGGGGGCGGGCGGGAAAGGTGCGAAGGGAGGCCGGCGGCAGCACGGCGGGCTGGCCGCCTGGCCGGACGAAGCGCAGCTGCCGGGGCAGAGCAACAGGGGCGGAGCGGCAGGACAGGCGCCGTGCCCCACCTTCAGGAAAGGCGCGGGTGGCGAGGATGTAGAAGTGGCGGCATGCGGCCCAGTCGCGATCGGCCGCAGGCGCCGTGCTCATCACTCCGTACCTGCAACGGCGGCGGAGCGGGGGGTGGTGGCCTGAGCGGGTGGCGGGCAGGGATGGGAGCTTATGGCGCCCGGCAAGCCCCAGGTTGGGAGCGCAGCCGGGGGAGCGAGGCAGGCGCCAGCCTGGCCTGCATGTGCCACGCCTCTGTCGTCGCCTGCCGTACCCCAGACCGCCCCGGCCCAGCCAGCAGGCCAGCTGCAGCAAGCAATCCACACACGCACGCGCACCTGGTGAGGTCTCCCAGGCAGACCAGGCAGCGGTGCACCGAGGGGCGGCAGTCGGCTGGCGCGGGCCCCGCCGCCACCTGCGGCATCTCCCGGCCCAGGGCCTGCAGCTGCTGCGCGGCCAGGGCTGCGGGGAGGGGGCAGCAGGATGGCGCGGCCAGGCCGCGGGCGTGTGGGCTGGGGGTGGGAAACGGAGTGGGGCCGCCGTGTGGAGGCGGTGATGCAGGGGGTGCTTGGGTAGCGGCGCATGTGGGGGCAATCTCTGGACCACGCCAGCGCCTGCCGCCGACGCGGGTCCGTCCCACACGCCCCCCGGCCACCCGTGTGGCACGCTGACCTGGCGGGAAGCCGGCGGGGCCGTACCGCTGCTGCAGGGCGGCTGCCAGGTGTAGGTAGAAAGCCTGGGCGTCCTGCAGGAAGGCCTGGAACGCCAGCTCGGTCTGCGGGACGGCAGGGGAAGAAAGCAGCAAGCAGCACGAGCACACACAGTTCGGAGGCTGGCAGGCAGGCAGGACAACACCAGCACAGCGCAGCGCAGCACCCGCGCTGCATCTCTCGCTGGTGCCGCCATCGAGCAGCCATCTGCAGCGCCAGCACAACCGAAACGGCCCCTGGGAGAGGCCGCAGCCTCCAGCGACAGCAGCGCCCCACCTTGGCCCTAAGCTCCCCCTCCGCCTGCTTGATCCGCTTCCTGCGTGGCGCCAGCCGGCCAGGCAGGCATCCGCTCAGCTCCAGCCAGGAGGCAAGGCAGCAGCGGCGGCACACTTAGCTTGCTGGTCATCCCCGGCAGAGCAACGGGCGCTCTTGTGCAAGGCAGCGCTGCTCTGTGCTCCAGCTGCCCCACACCTGAACTCCTCGATGGGCCGGTAGAAGACACACTTCCACAGCAGCCGCTCCACATCGTGCTTCTGCAGGTGGGTGGCACATGCGGGCAGGCTGATCGCAGCGCATGAGGAAAGCACACGCAGCGGCGGCAGCACATGGCAACGTGGAGGCGGCAGCGGCATTCGACCGGGGCAGCGGCGGGCCGGCGGGGAGCTGCAGCGTGTGCTCGGGGCGTCGCGCGCTGGCAGGCGCCTCGCGCGCCGCATGGACAGCCCACACATCGATTGAGGTGGGCGAGCAAGGCCTGGGTGCCCACCTGTGAGAGGCGGTAGTCTGCCAGCAAGGCGGACTCGCACTCTGCACGCAGCTCGGCGCGCTGCTGGCGCATGAGGGGATCGAAGATGGTGCGTGCCTGGGACTCCTGCCGGATGGATCGATCCAGCTTGGCGCAGGCCCTGAGGTGGGCGGCCATGGCGACAGAGGGACGCGGCGTGGCTGGCTGGCGGCGTGCAGTGGCTGGCGGCAGCGGTCGGCAGGCAGCGGAGTCGGCCCGCGGCGGGCAGCAGTGGCGCTGCCGTTAGATGCGAGGCGTGCAGGGGATGCGGCTGGCGGCGGGAGGACACTGGGGGTTCAAGTTGGCCGGCAAGAGGCGATCAGGGGACCCGAGGCCTTTGTGCCGGCGAGCGGCCTCCGGACGTCCCGACAAGTATACGGATAGAGATGTAGGTCGAGGAACGCCATACAATGGGCGCAACTCGCGGCGAGCACTCCCCACCAGGGACATTGCGCGCTCTGCCGGGAGCACATGGCGCCCGCCTGCGCCCGCCTCTGTCCTTTGGACGCGCTCCCGGGTGTTGAGGGAGGCACAGGCCATCATGGTGAGCCCCGCAGCTCGCTGTGGCGCCATGCCGCTCCCGCAGCAGGGCAGGGGCAGACGGCGGCGGGGCTCGGGCCGGCCCCGGCAGCGCCAGGGAGGGCACCGCAGCGGCCTGGAGGCCTCCCACGCTCGACGCAGCCCATGCCAGCCGAGCGATGCCCCCTCGCCTACATGCGGGCCGCCCTGGGGCCGGCCTAGCGCATCAGCAGCCAGCTGATTGTCTTCCATGCATTCCCTGCAGGGCATCGACCTCATTGCCGGTGGCCGCAACAAGCGGGTCCACAGGACCGCGCCCAAGAGCGAGAATCCCTATGTCAAGCTGCTGGTGAAGGTGAGGCTGCGTCGAGGGATGCTGGAGAGTCAGCGCAGCCGCCCGGAGCCACCATTGGGCAGTGCACGGGAAGCAAACAGGGCAGGGGGCAGCCAGGCCAGCAGCAGGAGATGGAATGGAGCCGTGCAAAGGGCTTGGAGCGTAATTGGCAGCATGGGGCACCAGCAGCGGGGCTGCCTGCAGCCGCGACTCGAGGCGGGAGCGGCAGCAGCGGCGGCGGCGGCGGGGCACGTGTATGTGGCAGGCCACAGCAGCACAGGGCATGCGGGTGGGAAGGATTTCAACTATTCAGCAACTGCAGCTGCCAGCATCAGCTGGAAGCCTGCCGAGGCTCGCAGCGCTGTTGAGCCGCTCGCAAGCGGCAGGCAGCAGCGCAGCCGGCGCATCCGCATGCGGCATAGCCTGGCCTGCAGCTGCAGTCAGCGCGCCTGCTGCACACAGCGCGGCAAGCAGTAGCACCGGCGCGGCATGTGGCCACCGCAGCCCGCACAGAGAGCATTACTTATGCTGCAGCGGGTGGCCGCAGCGCTCGGCAGGCAGCCCGCTGCCACTGGTTGCTGGCCCGACATGCGGGAAGGGTTGCCACGTCTGCTTGCTGGCCTGGCCGCTGCCAACTGCCGAATCACTGCCGCCTCCCCGCTCTGTACCGCAGCTGTACCGCTTCCTGGTGCGCCGCACCGAGAGCGACTTCAACAAGGTGCGCCCCCGGGGTGGATAGCGCGCACTTCGGCCAGGGGGCCTTTCAGCCGCCAGGGGCTGGCAGCGGGGCGCGGCCACACCTGGCGCGTCCCCACCGCGCGGGCAGCGCCGTCGCCGAACCCCAGCAGCCTCCTTCTAAGCCCGCGCCAGCACCGATCTGAACCGATCTTCACCCACCCTCTCTCCCGCCCCGCCCCACCCTCCCGCGCCCCAGGTGGTGCTCAAGCGCCTCTTCATGTCCAAGACCAACCGCCCCCCGCTATCCCTGTCCAAGCTGGTCAAGTTCATGGAGGGCAAGGAGGGCAAGCTGGCGGTGCTGGTGGGCACCATCACAGACGACACCCGCCTGTTCGAGGTGCGGCGCTGCGTGGGGGTGTGTGAGTGTGGGTGGGTGCACGGGTGTGGGTGTGGGTGGGTGCATGGGTGTGGGTGTGGGTGGGTGCATGGGCGTGGGTGGGGGTGGGTGCATGGGCGTGGGTGTGGGTGCGGGTGTGTGCGGGCTCGTGCTGGTGGTGGTGCACGCTGTGTGCGGGCTTGGTGGTTGGTGTTCCGTATATGGGCGTGTGCCTGTCTCGCGCTTGTTTTGGGGTGGCGGCTTGGGCGCGTGTGCGGGGCGCTGAAGCTACGGGCTGGCTGGGGCTGGCCTGGCCTTGCGCAGGTGCCCAAGCTGCGCGTGTGCGCGCTGCGCGTCACCGAGACCGCCCGCGCCCGCATCCTCAAGGTGTGTGGCAGGCTGCTCTGCTGGCGGTTTTGCCTGGCTTGTCTGGCTCGGCCGGTTCGCTGCTGGCGGGCTGGGAAGCAGGGGCTGGATTTGAGGGGGCTGGCTGGGGAGCCGGCTGGCGCTTCTGCGGGCCCTGCTGAGGCTGTGCTGGCGGAGGTCGGCGGCGGAGCGGCAGCCTCGCAGCACGGCGCAGCCCTGTGGTGTGGCCGTGAAAGAAAGAGCAGCCGTGAAAGAAAGAGCAGCCGGCCAGCTGTGGGCTGGGGGAGGCGCAGGCGGGCGAGCGTCGCGAGTGTGGCAGTGCCAGCGGGGCGGCACGCGTCAGGCCGGAGGCAGTCGCAGCTGCATTGTGCAAAACGTCAGCGCCAGCTCCCTCGCGTAGTCAGGCGGCAGCGCAGCCGGCTGGTGCCAGGCGGGCTGCCACCTCCCCTTGGCTCCTCGACTCCTCAAGTCCTCCAACCTCCCACCCGCCGCTTCCCCTCCTTTCCTTTCCTCCTTTCTTCCCCGCAGGCTGGCGGCGAGATCATCACCTTTGACCAGCTGGCGCTGATTGCGCCCACCGGCAGCAACACCGTGCTGCTGCGCGGCCCCAAGAACAGCCGCGAGGCGGTCAAGCACTTTGGCCCCGCGCCAGGTGCGCATAGCGGGCTGCTGCAAGTCCTGCTGGTCCTGCTGGTCCTGCTGCCGCTGGTCCTGCTGGTCCTACCTGCCTGCAGCGTGCGTGGGACCGCGCAGGAGCCTGCACCCCGCCCGCGCCGCGCTGTTTGGTTGGCTGCCCGGCGGCGTCGACCGCGGGCTGGGACGCAGCTGTTCGGGCCGCTGCATTGTCTGCAGCACGTGCCACCTGGCCCACTGCTGAAATGCACACATGTTGCCTGGCCCCCGCTGCAGGCGTGCCCGGCTCCACCGCCAAGCCGTATGTGCGGGCCAAGGGCCGCAAGTTCGAGCGCGCTCGCGGCCGCCGGAAGAGCCGCGGCTACAAGGCGTAAGCCGGCGGCAGCTGGCCGGCTCGCTGAGCTGGCAGGCCTGCCAGCTCAGCAGGGGAGGCCGCTCCGGCCCCCGCGGCGGCCGCCTCCTCGCGCAGGAGCCCCATGGCGGCGGCAGATGCGGCGCCGCGTGGCTGCAAGGCGCAGCCAGCGCGGCGCACCTACAGCTGCCACCCGCCCAGCGCCGCGCGCCTGCCGCATGGCGACCGCTTTTCCTCGCTCTCTGCTGTCGGTGCGGTGGTGCGTGTAACGCTGGGATATCAAATAACAAGCTGTGATGGCAGAGACATGGCAGAGAGAGCAGGGTGTTTATACTATGGAGTGCTCAGCTGACGTGGCCCAGGTGTCAGTGAGCGGTGGACAGCCTTGCACGTTTCGACCTATTGAGCGATTCTTTATCAGCTAATGCATGTCTGACCCGCACAAGATAGCATATGAGGACCACGAGCTCCTTTGCCGAGACGAGGTGCAGCGACACGCTTGGAAAAGGCAAGCGGCGGCGCGACAGCATCATGGGATTTCGATCGAGCCTAAAGGACTGCATCCTGCATCCACCGACGCGACCTGCCGCCGCCACCCGCCGCCGCCGCCGCTCTCACTGCCGCCGCCGCTCACCGCTCACGTGCCGCCACTCACCTGCCGGCCGCAGGCAGCAGGTGGAGCTGGCACAGCGCGTGAGCCAGCAGGACGACGCAGCCTGGTTGCAGGAGCTGCAGCAAGGCGGCGGCGGCGGCGGCCCTTTGGCGGCAGGAAAACCTGGCCTGAAGCTGGTGGCTGGCCTGGACATTAGCTTCTTCCCGGCTACCGAAGGCGGCGGCAGCAGCAGCGGCAGCGCCAGCGGCTGCGCAGATGGCCCGAGCGCAGCTGCAGCCGGACGCGCGTGCATAAGCGGCAGCGGCAGCGATTCCAAAGGCCCAGCCTGCCAGGCGGGCTCAGCAGCCGCATCGAGCGCCGCTCTCACCGCTGCCGCGCCAGCAGGCGACCGTGCGGTGGCGGCGCTGGCGGTGCTGGGCTACCCAGACCTGCAGCTGCTCCACCTGGAAGTGATGGAGCTGCGCCTGGCGGTACCATACCAGCCAGGACTGCTGGGATTCCGGTGAGCGGACACGAGTGGGTGTGTCTGTGTTTAGGTGTGGCTGCCGGTGCATGTGTTTGTGTGCGTGTGAGCCGCCGGAGGAGGGTCCTCCCCGGCTGCCTGCCTGCCGCTGGCAGGCGGCACCTGCCCTCGACTGCCCTCGGCGTGTGCCCGCCGCTGCCTGCCTGGGCCGTATAGGGAGGTGCCCGCATACCTGGAGCTGCTGCGGCGGGCCGCCGCCAGAGGGGTGCGCCCTCAGGTGAGGCCCCAGGCCTGCCGTTCAGCAGGAGCCTCCCTCCCGGGGTCTGACCGCACCCTGCCTGCAAGGGCGCTCTGCCCACGATGCCGTACCACCCCTGATGAGATGCCTGCCTGTCTGCCCACCTGCCCCGCAGCTGCTCCTGGTGGACGGCTTTGGCGTGCTGCACCCGCGGCGCTGCGGCAGCGCCAGCCACCTGGGCGTGCTCTCAGGCCTGCCCACGGGTGCGTGCCGCCCCCAGCCCGCTGCCTGGCGCTGCGGGCAGGCAGGCGGGCCGCTGCTGCTGCTGTAGCCATCCTGCTGCTGGTCCCTGCTCTGCATCACCCCTTCGTGAGACGACTGCAGGCCGACTCCTGCCGCCGTCGCCGTAGCCATCTCAATGCCGCCTTCTCCCCTTTGCTACCTGCAGTGGGCGTGGCCAAGCACCTGTTGCGGGTGGAGGGCCTGCTGCCGGAGAGGGCGGTGCGAGCGGCGGTGGCCGCATCAGGAGCAGCAGGCGAGCCGGGGGCAGCGGCAGCGGGCGCAGCGTACGATGCTTGCGAGCCGGATGCGGCAGCTGGGGAGCCGCAGCAGCTGGCAGGGGATTCCGATTCAAGAGGGAGCCGCGCCAGCAGCTGGCTGCCGCTAGCGGGCGCGGGGGGCGAGGTGCTGGGCGCCGCAGTATGTGCCGCGGGCGGCAGCAGCAGGCCCATCTACGTGTCTGTGGGGCACCGCATCAGCCTGCCCACTGCAGTGGAGGTGGTGAGGCGGTGCTGCCGCCACAGGTGGGTGCTGCCCACCGCAGGCAAGGGAATTGGCGCCTGCCTGCTGCTGCCCTGCCCAGCCCTGTCGCTGCCAGGCCCTGCCCTCCGCCTGTGCACTGCTGTGAGCGGCCAGCGGCCATCCACCAGCCTCCGGCCGACGCCCTCACTCGCGGTCCCAAGGTGTACTGCTTGAGCGCAGGGTGCCGGAGCCCATCCGCCAGGCCGACCAGCATTCTCGAGCCGAGGTGCAGCGCAGGCTGCAGCAGGCAGAGCCGCAGCAGCAGGCAGAGCCGCAGCAGCCGCCGGCGGCTGCCGCGGCGGCAGGCGTTAGCGGCAGGACGGGCCACACTGCCGCCTGAGGTGCAGTCGGCCTGCCGCAGGCCGGTGCCTGCTCGCCTCCTCCTTGTCACAGGTGCAGCCTTGTCACTATCTTGACTGCCAATGGCGACCTCTGGGGGGCGCTTGTTACCCTGCGGAGCCATCTTCCTCCGGCATAAGGCGTTGCTGCGTTGCGTCTCTTTGTGTTTCATTACAGCATGCATGATGATGCTGGCTGGCGGGCGTCAGGCAGGACACAACAGTGGTGATAATTTGAAGTAATAGAATGCCACGCTAACTTTCAAACCAGCCACTAGACCCAGCCGTACCCTTGCCCCTAGCCGTACCCCTGCCCCCTGAACCCTACCCCTGCCCCTACCCCCGTGCCTGCTCGGCTTCCCTCAGCTCGTGCCTCGCCGCCAGGCGGAGTATCCGCTCGCGGCGCTGCTCCAGCGGCGGGTGGGTCTGCATGAGCTGAAGCAGGATGGCCTCCCGGTCGGCGGGCGGCAAACCCCACAGCCACAACTGCTCGGTCTCAGGGCAGGATGTGTGCCGGAGCAGCAGCGCGTCGGCTTCGCTGGCCCTCCCGACCCGGCGCATGACGCCCGCCAGCTTCAGGATGGCTGCCGCCAGCCTCCTCAGGTCTGCTTCGGTTGCGGGATCCGCATCGGACAGGAGGGTCAGCTGGAGGCGCCCAACCTTCAGCTCCCGCTTCGGCCGCCAGCCCAGCACGCGTGCAACGTCTGCCCAGCGCTCTGCTGGCACCCCCGCACGCGCCAGCGCGGCGCAGGCGATGGCGTCGGCTTCCCACTCATGTTGCCTGCACAGCACGGCGAATGCAACAGCACGGGTGAGAACGCCGCGCGGCCACGCCGCGCGGATTGTGTCTGCATGCGTGCGGACGTGGTTTGGGTTGGCGATCAGCGGCGGGCTCACAAGAAAACAACGCAACAGCGGCTCACCAGCGCAGGCAGCGTGTTTCCTGCGCCAATTGCAGCCGTACAGCAGTATCGGATGCTATCACAGCCGCACGCATCCGGTCCGGGCTGGGCTCCCGCCGGGCTGCGCCAGCAGCCGCTGATGCAATGTGCTGCAGCCGGACTGCCGTCTGTCGCCATCTGGACAGATAGTCCTCGCCCTGCAGCCAACACGCGTGGGATGGGGCTTGCTGGGCAGGCGGCCTGCGGCAGCTGCACATACTGCAGCTCCCCACCCGCCCAGTGCCGCTGGCATGCCCTGTGCCGCATGCCACACCGCAAGCCACACACCTGATGCAGAGCCATTCGATGCGCCAGCTCATGCGACAACATGAAGAGCAAAGCAGACTGGGGGTCCTCTCTAGAGCGGCTCCAGCACGCCTGCACAGCCCCCGTGCTCAGCACGATGACGTGGCCAGCAGTTGCACACATGAACTCGTTGGAGGGGATCATCTCCAAGTGCCATCCGCTGCCCTGCAGGCAGGTAGGCAGGCAGGTGGCCCCAGCCAGCTGAGCATGGGGGAGAGGGGGAGCAGGGATCGGCCTTGGCGGCAGGTCATCGCAAGCCGCTGCGGCGCCTGCACTCGGCGGCGGGTAGGTTCAGAAGTGGGCCAACTGACCAAAGCGTGTCTCCCGAAGCCAGTGTCGGTGATAATCGCTCCTGTTGCAGCCACCGCTCGGGAGATGCCCTCTTGCACCCCAAGCCGCTGCTCCTCGCTGAGCGCAGCCACAGCCTCGGGGCACCACCTGACCACCACCCTGCCCGCCTCTGGAATGGGGATGGCGCTGCCCGCAGGCCACTGCAGCAGAACACACAGCATCAGGGTGAGTGCCAGAGTTGGGAGACAGTTGAGAATGGCGCAGGCGCACCTGCTCCTTGAGATGCCCTGCCATCTTAGGATCCATGTATTGAGCGAGCCCGTCGCCAGTGATGGGCACTTGCTGCATCAGCCAGGGCGCCACCCAGCCCGTTGCAAGCGGCCGCCGCCGCCAACCCTCAGCACCGAAGGGCACTGTCTCCTGGCATGTCACGCCCACTGCCGCCGCCCCGATCCCGGCTGCCAGGGACGCCTTGAACAGCCTCGTCGCCTGCCTCATCGCGTGCTGCTTGCAGAACGGCGGCAAAGGCAGGCCTGCGGGAGCGGCAGTGGCGGCAAGCACGAGGCAGTGGGTTGCACGAGGGAATGCACACGGCGCAAGACGATCCGATCCGTTACTCAATGCTTATCAACGCAGCACACCAGAAATCGGGTGATGGACAGAATAGCCTTGCATAGGAGGAGAAGAGGCTCCGAGCCCGATGTCCACGACGCCAGAAACACGTTCGGGGTGATCAATACCGTTCCGCAATGTACTGAGATTAGAATGAACGGACGAGCAGTATTAAAAACGCCCAGAAAAGGAAATGAGGTCAGTAGCTGCTGGGCCCTGCTACGCCAGCGGTGCACCCCAAATCGAACTTATTAGTAATAAAGTGAGCACAGATGATGGACGAGTCCAAACACCTGAGTAGCCAGCGCCCGTGGCGGCCCGGTCGCGCCTGCGCCTCCGCTACCCCACGGCTCAGCGGCTGTCTCTTGTTCCGGGGCAGCGGTTATCTGGGCCAGATTGTCGTTGAAGGTTATGCCAGCAAGGGGTGGAAGGATCCGCCCAGGCCTCCAGCTGGCCCCAATGTGCCGCCGCCACAGTCGCCGCCGCCGCCTTGCGGCGCCCTGTGTCACCCCAGAATCGCTGCCTGCCCTGCTTCTTCAGCCCCTTACATCCTGACGGTCAGCATACGTCTTCAAGCTTGCAAACTAACGAGCCGCCGACGTGATCGAGCCGCCTGCCCTACCGCTGCGCCCGCTCGGCTTCCCGGTCGATGTGCTGCGCCGCCAGGCGCCGTATGCGCTCCACGCGCTGCCCCACCGGCGGGTGGCTCTGCATGAGCCGCACCAGGATGGTCACTTGCTCTGCGGGCGGCGCTCCCCGCAGCCACAGCCGCTCAGTCATAGGAAAGTTGGCGAGGAGGTCCAGCTCTGGGTCAGCACCCAGCTGGCTGCCTTCGCCCTCGCCGTCTCGCTTGGCGGCGCTCGACAGCGCCTTGCTTGCCTGCCTCGTCAGCTCCCCCTTGCTGGGCCCCTCCCCGCCAGACAGGAGCTCCAGCTGGAGGGGCCCCACCCGCAACTGCAACTTTGGGCGCCACCCAGAGAGGCGCAAGCTGTCAGCCATGTGCTCCATTGGCATGCCCCTGCGCGCCAGCGCAGCGCACGCGATGGCATCCGCCTCATACTCGTGCTGCCTGCATGGGGGGGTGTTGCATCCAGGCAGTGACCTCACTCCTCGGAGGAGGGCTGCTGTGCAGCGGCCTGCGCACACGCCCCGCACCACACGCCCGCACAGATCAAGGATGCGAAACATGGAAAGGCAGGGTGGCACAGGGGTGGCCCCCAAGCTGCAGCGCTGCTCACCAGCGCAAGCGCTTCAGCTCATCCGCCAGTCGCAGCCGCACAGCTGTGTCGGCTTCCGCCACAGCCGCACTCATCCGGTCCCAGCTGGGTGCCCGCCCCTGGCACAATGCCCTCACGGTGGTGGCACCAGCTACTGATGCAACGCAGCACACACGCGCAGCCGCTTGCCTGGACAGACTCATCAGACGATCGGCCTGCGGCAGCCAACACATGTGGGATGGGAACCTCAGGATGGGGCAGGCAGGCAGCCCACTGAGGCAGGCAGCTACCCTTAAGCACAGTGCAAGTGCCACGGGCAAGTGCCATACCGCATGCAGAGCCATCCGATGGCCAATCTCGTGGGAAAGCATGGAGAAGAGCGCCGCCTGCGGGTCGTGTCTGCAGTGGCTCCAGCACGCCTGCACTGCTCCCGTGCTCAGCAGGATGAGGTGATCCGTACTTGCGCAGATGAAATCGGTGGAGGGGATCATCTCCACGTGCCATCCGCTGCCCTGCAGGCAGGCGGGCGGGCACCAAGCAGGGATCGGCTCAGGGGGAGGCTGATGAGATCTCATGAACACATGCTGCTGGTGTACACAATGGCGGCGCCGGATTGCGCAAGCTGCCGCTGTCCCATGCTAGTAGCCCTGCAGGTTCAGGATCGCTGCACCTCACCAGGATGTGGCTGCCGAAGCCAGTCTCCCTGGCGATCTCCTCCAGGGCAGCCACTGCCTGTTTGGCGGCATGCTCCACCGCATGTCGTTGGCGGGAGTGCACAGCAGCCACAGCTTGGGGGCTCCACTCGACCACCACCCTGCCCGCCGGTGGAATGGGTGTGATACGCCCCTCCGGCCACTGCAGCCATTCGCCAGATGGGCAGCGGGCTCAGTGCTGCACACGGGAATGGATGCCAGTGGGCACAGCAGCAAGATGCCCCACCTGCTCCTTCACATAGTCCTTCAGTTTGCGCAGCCTTGCAACATCGCAGCCAGAGATCTCGTCTCGCCTGATCAAGGGCGCCACCCAGCTCGTCGCCAGCGGCCTGCACCGCCGCCCGTCAGCACCAAAGGGCACAACCTCCTGGCAAACCAGGCCCACCGCTACCGTCCCCACTGCTACCGTCCCCGCGGCATTCAGTGACGACTTGATCAGGCGCCTCGCTGCCTGCCTCATCGTTCCTGGCACCAGGATGCAGGCGCAGTTGCGATTTCCAAGGGCAGGGGTGGATGGCCACGACAAAATACCTGCTGTATCAATGCGTATCACTGCAGCTCACCAGAAATCCAGCGGAGGACAGGAAAGGCGAGCACAGGGAGCAGAAGAGGAATGGCCAGATGTTCACAGAAGCCGGATGCACGGTCAGGAAGCGCCAAACTCCACAACAGTCACCTGCATCCACCTAAAACGGATGGATGGTGCAAAAAAGCCAACAGCGACGGAAAAATGGCAGGTCGCTGCTGGGCGTGCTGTGCCAGCGGTGCACCCCCACCGAACTTGCAAAACAAGATCGATGAACGAATTCAAACGCCTGAGCAGCCAGCGCCGGTGGCAGCCGAATCGCAGGCTGCATCCCGACGGCATGGCGCAGCCTGCTGTGCTGGTGACCGGGGCCAGCGGTTATCTGGGCCAGTTCGTCGTGGAATGGTATGCCGGCAAGGGGTGGAAGGTGCGCCTACGCTTCCGGCAGGGCCAGATGGCAGCATTGCCCCGCCGCCACCGCCGCTGCCGCCGCTCTGCGCAGTTCCCGCCCAGCCCGCAGCCCTTGCTTGATTGCACTGTGGATGAATCATGCGCCGCCCCTGCAGGTCGGCTGCACCTACCGCACCGGAGAGGCGCCCAAATTCGGCAGCGGCGTGCAAGTCTTTAGGGTAGATGTGCTCGCTGAGAGCTTGCCGCCTCTCTGCTGCAAGCGCCGCCGCCCTGGCAGCACGCCAGGGCCCTGCGTGCACTTGCTTAGCTGTCGTCTGTTTGGGTGTCCTTTGCAGGTGGACCTGGGGTCAGGAGAGGGCCTGCACGAGGGCTGTGATGCGCTGGGCCCGCTAGCAGCGTGAGCAGCTGCCGGCCTGCCGCCAGCAACCACGCCAGTCTCCTGGCTCTGTGGACAGCAATGGCAAACGTTTGTGGATTCTGAATTGCTGCAATGCATGCGCGTCAGGGCACCGGGGGGGCAACCCTTTTGCCCACCTCCTTCTGCCGACGTCTCCCGCCCCTGCCCGCTTGCAGGGTCATCAACTGCGCGGCGCAGGCGGCGCCCGCGGCGTGCGAGGGCGAGGGCGAGGCGGCGGCCAGGGCGGTCAACGTGCCGTCCCAGCTGCTGGGCGCTCTGCAGCGGCACGAGCAGCGGCACGGCAGGCAGGTGGCATGCCCTTCATTTCCTGCCTGCTGGTCTGCCTGGATTATCGCCTACCTAATGCCCATACGCTGCCCCCCTGCTAAGTCCTGCTAACTCAGCCCTTGCATCGCCGCCGTACCTGCCCTGTGCCTCCCCGCAGCCAGCCAGTGCTGGTACACATCAGCACAGACCATGTGTACGACGGCGGCAGCTCTTTCTACAGGGAGGACGCGGAGCTGCGGCCGGTCAACACATACGGCCGGTGTGGTGGGGTGGGGCGTGCGCCTGGTGTGCGTGGTGGCTGCCTGCTGCCACCTGCCGGTTTGGGGGCCCCAGCTTAGCCACCCCTCGCTCGCGCCTGCGGCACCCTTTCGCAGGACCAAGGCGGACGGCGAGGCTGAGGTGGCGCTGAGGTGGCGCCGCCACGTCATCCTGCGCCCATCCATCATCTTCGGCCCGCCCCCGCCCAACCCCATCCGCCGGGGGCAGTTCCTGCAGTTTGTGGACAGCTGCCTGGCGGCGCAGGTGGGCGGTACTGTGCAGTACACCACAGGACAGTACCGTGCAGCGCGATGCGTTTTGTGCCTGCAGCACAGCGCAGGCGAGCTGTTGGTTGGCAAGCGGGCCCCCTATACAGGCACTACCAGCACAGCACAGCCGGCAATCGAGCGGCCACCGCCCTGCCTCCTCACATGCCACCCTGGCACCCCCCTCCCTGCCCCCTGCCCCCAAGCAGAAGCCCTCTACTTTCTTCACAGACGAGTGGCGCACCCCCACCTACGTCAAAGACCTGGTGGCCGCCTGCGCCGCCGCGGTGGACGCGTGCGACGCGCTGCCGGCGGCGCCGCCGCACGCCCGCGTGTTCAACGTCGGCGGCCCCGCCCGCATCAACCGGCTCGACATGGCGCTGGCTGTGGCGGAGGTGGGTGGGGGCGGGTGGGTGTGGGTGGTGGTGGGCGGGGCTGGTGGGGAGGAGCGGGTTCGCCAGTGGGTGGTGTGGAGATGGGGACCAGCCCTGGGGCCCTCCCTGCGCAGCCTGGGGACATGCCTGACCTGCTGTCTTGGCCCCGCACCGCCAGCCACCTGACCCGACCCGCCTCCAGCCTTCCTCCACCACACACAAACCCCACACCAAACCCCCAACACACACGTGCTAACACCTGCCTGGCACCCCTGCCCTCAGGTGCGCGGCCACGACCCTGCCCTGGCCCTGCCCGGCTCCGCCGCCGCCGTGGCCCGCACCTGCGCCACCCCCGCCGACATTTCCATGGACACATCAGCGGTGGAGGCGGTACTGGGGGTGCGCATGACGCCCTTCACCGAAGCGCTGCGCCAGATCTTCGGGGGCGGCGGCGGCGGCTGCCAGCCGGCGCACGCGGCTGCGGGCTGAGGGGCGCAGCCCGAGCGGCGGCGTGCCAGCCCCGGGCCTCGTGGCACCCCCGGCGGTGCCACGCATACTCCCGGCAGCGCCCTGGGGCGGCTGCCTGGTGCCTGATGCCGGCCCGGGGAGATGCCTGACCCTTGCAGTCCCTGTATGCAATTACAACACAGTGCAATCACAACACCCAAAGGATGGATGGTCCCTAAGGAAAGCAAGGAGAGGAGCATGCGTTTTCAATGGCCCGAACAGCAACAGAAGAATAGGTGGAGGAGGGGCGGGGGTCATGTGGGGAGGCAGTCAACAACAGGGGAGGGTCGTAGGCAAGCAGTGTGTCTGTCTTGTGGCGCGGCGTGGCGTGGGGAGCAGAGGAAGGTGCAACGGTGTGCCAGGCGATCGGTCACTGTCGGCCGCACCCACCACCAGCCAGCTGGGCAGCGGGTGGCTGCTGTGGGTGGGGTGGGGATGGAGGGTGGGCGTGCGGGTGGGTCCATCCGTCAAAAAGCGGCTGAGCGGGTGCCGCCCGCAATAAGGGCGCAAGTGGCGGTCGTTGTAGTACATAGTGCAGCGGTACAGCTGCGGTACAGCTGCTTATACAGCTGCGGTACAACGGCGGGTACAGGCTGAAGGTACACTGATCCCAACTTCAGCACCAGAGTGCAGGCTGGTGGCGCGGGCAGTGGGTGCGAGGGAGCGCGCCGAGCCAGCGCCGCGCTAGCTGCAGCAGCCAGCCGCGGCTCACTTCTTGGCGGCCTGAGGGGAACAGGGAAGTCGAGCAGAGGTGCGTGTGTGTGTGCCGTGGTGCATGCCAGTGAAAAAGGTGCAGCCACGGGCGGGGCAGCAGCCCACAGCAACAGCCGGCGCCACGCCAAACACCCAAGCCGCGCTGCCACCCCAAGCCCGCCAGCAGGGGCAGCAGCGCCGCCCTCACAGCATCAGCCGCCAGCGCGCCGCCAGCCCAGCGCCAGCGGCACCACAGCACGGCAGCGCCACAGCCCCAGCAGCCCCGGCAGCAGCTCTAGCCCAGAGCAGCAGCTCCAGCCCAGCAGCAGCAGCTCCACACCTTGGCCTTAGGGGCGGCCTTCTTCTTGGTTGCCGCCGTCTTCTTGACGCCCGTCTTCTTGGCTGCCGGCTTCTTGGCTGCCTGCATCCCAACGCAGAGGGCCGGAGGGTGCGGTGCACGATGAAACAGGCCCGCAGCAGCCCCAGAGGGGGCGCGAGCTAGCGGCGGCAGCGGGGCCAGGGAGCGGCGGGGTCGGGCGCGCGGCGCGTGCAGGCGGCAGGCGGCAGGTGGCGGGTGACCTTGGGCTTGGCAGCGGCAGCCTTCTTGGGCGTCGCCTTCTTCTTCGCGCCTGCCGCCTTCTTGGCGGCGGGCTGCGGGGTGCAGCAGGGAGCAAACATCAAGGATGGGATCAGGCCGAGGGGAGGCGTGGGGTGGGCATAGAAGTGTAGGTTGCCGGCATGGCCTGGGCACGGCTCCAAGGCAGGCCAGAGCCCAGCCCCGGCAGGCTGGGAAGGAGGCTGCGCCGCTGGGAAGCATGCTGGCCACGGCACCCCGAGCAGCAGCGGCGCGGGAGAGCTGGCACGCACCTTCTTGGCGGCGGGCTCCTTCTTCTGCACAAGGCGGGGAGGAGGGGCGGTGCAGCGGCGGGTGAGCCCAAGGCGGCGCTCGATGGAAAGGCAACGCGGGCAGGCAGGGCAGGCAGAGGCAGGAGGCAGGGGCACAGGAAACAAGGCTGCTCCCAGCGTTGAGGGCGGAGCAGCAGCAGCAGCGCCGGGCCCCTGGTCTGTTCCGGCGGAGCGGGGTCGCACGCCCAAGCTGCTGCGCTGCCACCGCCACCGCAGCCGCCGCACCTCGGCGGCGGGCTTCTTCGCCTTTGGCTTTTTGGGCTTCTTCTCCTTCTTCAGACCCTCGCCCTGCAGGGAGGGAGGGACGGGCGTGCAAAGGGAGTGGGAGGCAGGCCAAGAAGCGCAGGGGGGAGGCGGGGAAGCCAGGGAGCGAGGCGGACAAGCGGGCCACGCCAAACCCCAACAAATCCCCACCCGCGGGGGCAGCGCCGGCCGGGCAGGGCTCCGGAAGCAGGTGTGGGCCCGGCAGCAGAGAGCAGCAGCAGCGGGGCAGCAGCAGGGCGAGCGGCGGGGCTGAGCGAGACGGGGGGCAAGGGCAGGCGGGGCGATCGA